CACGCCCTTATCTCAGCTTCATCGAAAGCAAATCCGACGTGTGGTGGGCTGCGGCGACTTTTTTCCCAACACGCGTCTCATCGCCGGCGTCTTGCCGAAAAACAGAAAAGACACCGCAAAAGAGCAACACCACCAAATCGAAGCCAAGTCTCATCACACATCCTCACTGACACCATCCATGCCTGGGTATCGATCTGGGTATTTCGAAGGGTAACGCTAGGAGTGCAAACTGGCGTGTGTGCAATCAGCGGTTGGTGTATCCGCCGAACTTGCCCGTGTTACCCATGTTCTGACTCGGCTTGAGCGCACGGCCGCGATCGAGCACGCTGATGCCCTTGAGCACCGCAGCTTCGTTGATGCTCTGCAGCCTCCTCTGCTCAGCACACCCACATCCGCACGACGGACACGCGCCCACAGCAGGATGCTCCTTGCGCTCGCCGTCGGCCGCCTCGCTCGGACGGAAGACGGGTGCAGTGCCGTGACCGACGTGCTTGACGCGCAGCTCGTGCAGCTCGTTGCTGAGCTCCTGGATCTGCGCCTCGATCTCGCGCGCGCGCTGGCGCACCTCCTCGGGGATCTGCGGGCTGGCGGGCGCCGACAGCGCCGTCTCGGCCTCGCCCGATCCGAGCAACGGCGTCGTCGCCGCGTTCGAGCTCGGCGGATGCACAGAGTGGTGGAACGACGGCGTGAGCGGCGACGTGGCAGGCGAGTGGAACTGCGACTGCGTGTCCGACACGCTGCCTCCAGCATCCAGGCTCGGCAGTCGACTCGCTCCCGAGGCGCCGCCGTTGCCGCTCCAGGTGCTGTCCGCCGATCCGGGCACCGCCGGGCCGGGCAGCTTGGCGCCGTGCGGTGGCGGTCGGATGTCGGCCAGCTGCGGCTTGTGCGACGCCGTGGATGGCGCGAATCGACCCGACTCGGAGAGCACGGGGGACGGCGTCCGGAAAGAAGAAGGCGCCGGGCTGTGCGGCGCCAGCAGTCCGGTTGAGCTGGTCGACGAGCCGTTGGATGCCTCGCGCAGATGTCCCTCGGAGAGCGCCGAGGCGTCGAGGAAGTCGGCGGCAAAGCCCGAGAACATGGACGAGACCGGTCGGATCTGGAGCGCCGGCTTCTCGCTCAGACTAAGCGGCCCAAGCGCGTCGTTCTCCTCGTCCAGCCCAGTCACGGAGAAGGACGGCATGGGCGACTTGGCAGATGCATTCAAATCCCTGCTGCTGCCGCTGGGAGGGAAGGTCGAAACGCCGTTGAGGTCGATGCTCACGCCCTTCTCCTTCTTGAGCTTGCGCATGAGGAAGCCGCTCTTCTTGTTCTTGAGGATGCGCGAGTTGGTCTGTCCGTCACTCGAGGGATCTCGGTACATTGCGTGATCGTCGTGCATTGATTCGGCCGCATTCCTGCCCGCTCCTACCGCGCCAGACGATGCGAGCCATTCGGACTGCTTCTGCCTCGCCTGCTCGCGCGCCTGTTCGAGCGAAATGAGCTTGTACGGCACGCCTTCGATGTTGCCTGGCAGTGGCAGGCTGCCCGAGGTTTGGCTAGACGAAGCAGAAAGCACCCCGCCGTTGGGGCCCACAGGCGAGCCCTGTGCGCCGCG